CACTCCAGGTGGAATTTCTGCTCAGAAATTGCATATTAACATAAAAAACCCAAAAAACCCCACCAACAAATCCACCCCCCCCCACAGTGTGAATGAAGAAGGGCACTTTTCTGTAAAGAAGTGAAGACCTGGAACATGCAGGACTAATCTCACGCCCTCTCATCTTCCTTTCCAATTCCTGGAAGTACTGAATCTATTAAAGTCACTTGTTTATACAGACTTTGCAGCTTCTGGTGATCTCAGTTCACAGGAAAAATGACTTAAAGATCACATGTCCTTGAAACTCCTGACTTTTTAGCCAAGCCATGCACAACATTACTTGTGGCATAAGCAGGTGTCTGAGTACAGTCCCCTAAATCTATAATCAATCAGTTCTCTCATTTCTGATTCCAAAGGATAAACACATTCATTGCTTAAGCTATACTGCACTGCAGACCTTAAATCCATGACCCTCTACTGATGACATGCAATATTATTCTGGCATGGCTAATATTATATCTTTAGATCTGGGAAGCCTAAAAATAGACCAGTAGCAGTGACTTTGATTAAGAGTTGTGCCTTAAAGACAGCAGACCACATGTTTCTTCTTCCTTTTGACCAGCTGAGGTAAAAGCATAGGAGAAGAGCAACAGTGGCACTATTTTCAAAGAAACTCACTGCCAACTGAGCAGTTCTAATGCACTGGCTCTCCAATAACCACTGTAACAAAATAGATTAGGTTATTTACAGTGAGTCATAATTCAAAACAGCTGAAGTGTATGCATTAATACTTATAATTATAGAAAAAAATCAGGTAATATATTGGATTACAATTACTGAAAGACTCTCAAGGTGAACTAGCATCAAGGCAAACACAGTATTTTCATTTTCAAGGTCTTCTTATAATTTTGAAGTTCTACTATGACTTCGTATTTGCAAAAATGTCAGATTTACTTGGGACACTGACTTGAACTTCAATACTCTAGCTAAGCAGCAAGGAGCAGGAAACTAAGAGACTTAGCCACAAGCATAATTTACCAGCAGATTTTGTAAAGTCTCTAGAGTTTTACACCATAGTTGCAATTCACTTCTGTCAGGTTCTACAGCTAAAATATATTTTAACATTCTTGTAATAGAATAAATTCACGGCTAATTGACTTTTCTTTTATAAGCTCATCAAACACTTGATCAGAAAAGTCTACTGTTGTGAACATGTCTCACTTGAATTTCAGAACTCAGATAAATTCTCAAAGACTTTCTGGAAAAACTCAGAGAACACACTTTACGTATGTTACAAAATCTTTCAAGCTCTTGAGGGTTTTTTGAGCAGAGTCACATCCTGTGGTTTTAGGGCTCTGAGAGTTCGTTGTTTATTTCTGTCTTTTAAAACGAGGGAAGCGATACACAAGTCCTTACAGAAAACTGGAATATGCAGTGTTTAATATGACAAAAGAAGTACTCTCAATGAGACTTTGCTGTAAAATTCCTGGATTATAGTAACACATTCTTATTTTAAGAATTATCATCATCACTTGCTTCACTTGTACATACAAGGTCTGGTTCCATCACAAGAAGGGAAGAACCTGAATTGAAAGATTTATTCCTAGTGACACTTTTATCACTATGACTTTTTGCTGTCAAAATGAAGAAGAAATTTTTTAAATTAATGAATTTTAAAGATTAATGCCTACAAATACTTTATGTTTCACTATTATTAAAAGACAGTGGACATTAAAATTAGGAAAGCAACTGCAAGAACTGAAGGGGAAGACTAAGTAACAACAATGAGGAAGTTCACAGTTCAGTTTCCACATACAAACTCAAGAAAGCATTCCAAAAGTCTCCAAGGACAAAAAAATAGAAAATGCTATTTTATGTAAGAGAAAAATATGAAATTCTTCCAGACCAAAAAAGTTCATTTACACGGCAAATCTGTCTTGTGAATATCCTATCCATACACCATTTCTACCAACTTGCAACTGTGAAATATGAAGGGGATTCACTTTGGGCATTAACAGAGCCTTAGCATAGCTGTCACACAACCAAGACAGTTGCTACAAGAACTGAAATCAAAGATTTTTAAGTAATTACTTAGGAAGAGGGTTTTTCTAAGCATTGTTAGTAGCATGTAGGCATATCTAAAAAAAATTAAGATGAAAGTAAAACAAAGTCAGATTCTAAAGCTATCACAAAGAATTAATACGATTTCTCTGTTAGAAAATTATTGTAAGAAAAAATTGTATAGTGATAAGCAAAATTAAAGTCGGAATCATGAGTTATGTCTTTAAAGCACCACCAATTAATAAAGAAATCTTTTGAAAGCAAAGAAGAAAACATTTCCTTCTGTGAAGTTACATCACTCATATAAAATGCACATAAGGTTATTTCTGTTGAAAAAGCTGAACTTTTTTCTTACTCAAAGTAATATAGATATCACTTTAAGGAATCCCAATTTTTCTTTTTGTTTTTCATAGATATGGGCAGAAGCTTCCTACAACTTTCCTGATGGATACATGTAATGTAACAAATATACATTCTATAGCAAAAATACCAAGATTTTTATTACTCTCATATCTACTTGTTCTCATTTGTGATCAAGAGTATCCACATTACATATTTTCTGAATCGAAGAAATAAGTAATATGTTCTTTCAGAGAATTTTATCCAAACATGCATCATAGCATAATAAAAAGAGGTAAAAATGCTAAAACTATCTGTTTGGGGGTTTAATTGCAAGAAGTCGTTTTGTATATTGGGAAGAGCAGGAGTGATCAAACAGACATTAAGACCTAGAACAATTGTACAGTTTGCTCCAGTGTCATTAGTCATGAGACTGACAGTTCTTAATGAAATGGATCTACTTTGCGTGCAGTTACTCATCTTGAAGATTATTCACAAACAATGATCTTATTACTTCATTTTGCGCCTACTACTATAGATAATTCATTACCACATATGGGACAGATCATAGAAACAAGCAATACAGCCTGTGGGAAGTATTTACAGGATATTATTCCATTGTCTTCCATAAAACATACCAGCACATCACATAACCTCACACAGCTTCTCCCTGGGAGTGTTGTGATGTCTAACCAAGAACTGAGTATGCATATTTGAGTCTCAGATTCAGAATCAAGCAGATACAAGTCAAAGACAGCTCTATTTTGTGTAAGGAAAGTAGGTTACCTAGTTAACTGCATACAAATGAAGCCATTAAGTGTTCTGCCAGGTAGATTCTATGCACTGTAAATGTCAATAGAGAAAGTCTAGTAGTGAATGATCCACCCTTACCTAGCTTCACAGAAATCTGTTTAGTGGTTTTTGTTTCTAAAAATAATTTTTTTGTATTCACTAATAGAGATACCAAGAATATTTCTACTTGCATTTCCTATCCTCCCACTCTGAAAGCTGTGTCACTGCATATTTGTCAAAGGATCCCTGTCACAGATGTTCTGGTTCTGCACTGACTTCTCATAAAAAAACCCATTCTTCCTACAGGCATTTCTGTAAATTATTTTATGTTCCTGCCATTTATTCCTCACAATGTGATTTTCACAGTTCATCCCAGACCTAGGTACACACAAAGTGAACACAATAGGCTTTTACACCTTGGAGACCTGAACCTGCTCTCAGTGAGAGAGCAGGATGTCAGCAAGAGCAGACTTGCACATATCTGGTATGAAAATACCTTTTTTTGTACTCTGGATCATTTACCTTATTCTCCATGACACTGTTAAACTGAACATGATGCAGGTCCTTTAGCATCCCAGTGTTTCAGAAAAATAAACAGATCAGAATATCTTTTTCCTCTCCTTTTTAAAACGATACAAACATTAACATTGATGCTTTTTGTAAATCATATATGGACCTACGTGTATTTATACAACTGTTACATTTGTATCTGAGCATTTAATATTGTTCAGCGTGAACACTAGAGTTAAAATACAAAGTCAAATTCTTAGAGCACTGCTGAATGTCTGTTATATGGCTGTATTACATTAGCTACAAACGCCTCGTATTTTTAGTAGGCATAGATCATTCGGTTTCAGCACCATTCCCTAAAAGACATGGCCAACAAAACACTTAGGAAAACCAGGACACTTGCTCAAGCAAGTTAAATCAGGCAGTGACTTACAACAGGACTGTTTTTGTTGTCCAAATTAAAAATAAAGGCACATTCATTGTGACAGGGTGATGATTTCTGCAAATGCAGCCCCATGAAAAACTACAATTAAAGACAACGTACAGAACCCTTGTTGCAAGGACAGCTTGGATTCAGGCTGTCCTTCAGAAAGTCCATTCTTTTCAGTAAGGATTACTAAGGGTTTGCAGGATTCAGTGCTTAATTTCACCACAGAGCACAATGAACAGCAAGATACTGTGCACCGACTGCCTGCTAGCAAACTTTGTAGGAATGCATCAGACACTTTATCTAGAAAGCCCAGCATCAAGAAATGCCAGAGATAATGCTTTTTTTGAATTACAAAAGAACAAAGAGGTATTTTCTAATCATTCCTCTGTTTCTGTACTAACCTGGGAGCCTACTTCTTACTGGCTTCAGAAATATGAAACAATATTTTGATAACCAAAGAAACTATTTCTGAACTATTTCCACTTCAAGTTGTTAACTGTAACCCTTTGCTATTCTAAGGCCATTTTTTTCCTACAATGTATTTTCCCTCTTCTTTTAACCATTTGATCAATAGCTTATGATAACCTATACCTAAAATTATTCCTGTCAAATACTTCTAAGTTTTTTCCTTTCCACAGCCAAGCCCTTATCCAGAGCCTTCTGATTTATACAAAAATAAACTAATTCACTTCACTGGAGTTTAGCTGCCTTGACAGCCTTAGTTTTCTTCTAAAGGGATCTCAGTTTCCTGTTTGCTGAATCCTCACCTTTCAGAAGCCAGAACAGTTTGGTATTCATCCTTAAAAAACCCTTATGGATTTACATTTTAGTAGGAGTGTTAGTAGCAATTGCTGCCATTCCCCTCCTGCACACGAAGGTGAGGTCTCACCTGACTTGTCGGAAGAATCATCAAACTCCACGTTGAAGGAGTGCCCGTTGTTGACGATATTTCTGGCCGTACTGGCATCATAACTGAAGCTAAGAGGCTTCAGAGAGGAGTCGTACTTGGCGGACTTGCAGCAGATGTCAATAGGGGACTGGCGCTCTCCATTGGCGATGGGAAAGTGCTCATGCCAGTGAGCGGGTCCTGTAAGATAGTGGAAAGCAACTCAGTGGGAAAAGACACAAAGTTCGGGGGATATAAGCGATAACCCTCCCTCTGGAAATCGGGATGTTTGAACACCAGCATCAGCCTTTAGCTGCGTACCACTTGCGCGGGCTGGCGGTAGCGGCAGCACAGGTGAACGGGGATCCCACCTGGGCACCGAGGCACCCGGCACCCCCCAGCCCCGCTGGGGCTTGTACGGGAGAGTCCTCGAGGCCACCCCGTCCTGTGGAGTAGCGTCTGTCGCTCCCATCCCGAAGTAAAGGAATGTAAGCAGGGAAGCAGGAGATGCTCCGGCACAGCGTGCGGAGCGCAGGGCAGGCTGCCCGGGCGCAGGTGCATTTCAAGGTTACGAGAGAAAGCCGCCACCGAGCTTACTGCCGGTCCGGGCAACGGCTCCGCCGGGCAGCAGCGGGCACGTCCCGGGCGCGGCTCCCGGGGACCTGCCGGCAGGTGTCCTGCACCGCCGGGCACTCACCGTCGTGGCTGCCGTATCCCCAGTGGTGGGACATGGTGCACAACCCTGCTCCGTCCGTGGAGGCTCTCACAGCGCCGTGGCCCCAGCACGCTCTCAGGGGCTTTTATAGGCTCCCGCCAACTCCATGCCCTTCTCCGCGGCCGGAGGAGGGGTGGAGAGAGAGGGCGAGGGCGGAGGGAGACTCCGCTGGGGGCGGAGAGAGCGGTCCCTGTAATCCGCGATGGGCCGCGGAGCCGTGGCGGGCCCGGCGCAGAGCGCCCCCGGCAGGCAGGCGGGCGGGCGGCGCGAGGCGGTCCGGCGCGAGGCGGTCCGGTGCGAAGCGGTCCGGTGCGGCCGCAGGCGGGCCGGCGGTTCCGGGAGGTGCCGGCCGGTACCGGGCCCGCTCCGCGCCGCTGCTCCCCGCGCTGCCACCCTCCTTCCGCGCATCGCGCACCTGCGGGCGCCGTGACCTTGGGAGGTGGCGGCGGCCGGGCCGAGCAGCGCGCCGGGAGCCGGTGCGGGGCTGGCGGCGGGTGCGAGAGTGCGGTGCGGGAGAGGGAGCGGGTGCGCGTCCGTTTGTCCCTCTGTGTGTGTCTGTGTGTGTGTGTGTGTGTGTGTGTGTGTGTACGTGCGGGTGCGCGGCGCGGCGCGGCACGGCGGTCGGGTGCTGCTCCCTGCCGGGAGCGGAGGGAAAAGAGGGAAGAGGGCAGCCCGGCAGGGCAGCTCGGCCGTGCCGGAGGGTCCTGCAGCCAGGGTTTGGCATAGGTGCCAGGTTTTGGAGACGGAGATCGGCGGAGTTGAGGAGAGCAGCTGTGGTGGGGCTTTAGCAGAACGGGGACGTCACTGCTCATTGCTCCGTAGTGCGTTTTTCCTGATCGCCTCCGGAGAAGCTGCGCTTACGTGTAATCCCTACCATTGAGGCACTACACACTTAACTGTGAGTGCGGCTCAGCTACCGCTCTCGAGGCTGGATTAGCGAGAACAAAACTGCAATACATATTTTAGATGTTTTCTTATTGCGCAACGCTCCGGTGTTCCGTGGCAGGACAGGAGGGACCGGACCTTGGCAGCCCTTCCAGCGGCGGCTCCGTTCCGTGTCGTGCCGGCTTCCCCGGCCGGGCGCTGCCGTGGGGCGGACTGGCCCCGAGGGGCAGCTCCTAGCCGAGAGCGCTTGCAGATGGTCCTGTTTGAAGGCTTTTCTGTGTCTTGCTCTGAGCAGTTTTCGGTATAGAAATGACATTGTAACTTAACCCCATTTTCTTCTTAAGATGGTTTATTCAAATGTGGTTTTAATATTGTTCTGTTGTGATTTAACCACAGGGGTCTAGATTCTGTTTTCAGTGAGGTCATTGTAAATCTAGAATAACAACGCCAGAATGACTTCATCATTTACATTCAGCATTGTAAAATCTGTCTTTTGTTTGTATTTGTAAGAGGAGGGAGAAAAGTCTATTTGTGTAATGGGTACTATTGGTAACAGCAAATGTAACCAGCTGGAAATTGCTTACAAAAATTACCGACATTTCTCAGACCCTTTAGAATATAAGCAGAAAATATTTAAAGATTATTAGTGATTAACACAGTGTGTGTCCTCACATTTGCATGCCTCAATATGGTTTAGTGACCACAAAATGGAAATGTGATGATAAAACTGTATACACAGAAGTTATTTAGAAACGGCTGTGGCGTGTGATGTAGAATAACAAATGGAAATGCATGTTAAACATTTATTAGTCATTCCTTGTTTGCTCATTATAGATACTTTGCATCAATCACTTTCAAACCTGCCAGTCATGCTTCCAGTATATCAACAATCAGTAAATGCAGAGAGATACACAAACATATATAGGTAAGAACCCTTGAAGAACAAATCAATAAAACATCCCTTTATGTTGTAAGAAGGAATAAGATTTTGGTACCTTTCAGAAGGTTTCCTTCCATTCAATTCTACTGTTTAAAAAATCCATTCAGCCTGATTCTTCTGTACTCTCACAAGTCAAGTTTCCACTGACGTCAACAGGAGTACCATATAAAGGACAAGTACAGGATTAAACATGACACAATGTTTGGCATGGTAGGCTTCCTAAAAGATCTTAGGGTTCTTACCAGGGAAATTAAGTCAGTCACCAGCATCACCAAGGGACTGGGATTTTTAATTACTTGAATCTTCATTTTCTTATCAGTAGATGTATAGTATATGCTAAGCATACGTAAGACATACATCCACAAATAGAAAGTCCAGTGCTCTTAAAATCAAATTTTGTTTTCCTTGAAAATATTCAGCAGTACTTGCAGGCTTGAGCCCATGCCAAGGGACTAATGAGAGCCTGGCATTGCTTTGGGCTTGTTGATTCCAGCCTCTTTCTTTTCTGTCTCCTACCTGCATCAGACTCATAATCTGTGACTGTGGTTTTATGGCAGAATGCAGTTCCTCAGACAAAGCCATAAGCTAGCCCTGAGACGAAGGTGGATACTAGAAACAGTGTAATCGATAACATTGGACATGGGTGAAGCTGCAAGGCATGTTAGCAACAGCAAAAGAACACAATACACATCAGCTCAGTGCCTGCAGCAGTTCAGGCTTCTCACAGAAATCCAAACCGTGCTCCATGAGGCTGCTCCTGTCTGCCACAGTTGTGATGAAGTCGGAATGACGCACACCAGTGAGGCCTACTTGCATGTACAGAATGTGTAGGAGCAGTTCCCAAAGCACATGTTCACAAATCCTGTGGCAACAGAAGCATTATAAATACATTTCAAGCAATGCAAATACAGGGAACAGATTAGATAATTACTGTAGCCATTTGGTTACTCATGATTGACATTGACATTTTGGGCAGAAAAGATGCCAGTGTAATCTTGTCTCCCTTTTCTGTCACTACCAGTACCACATACTGTGAAGGTTTTTAGAAACTAATAAAACCAGATGCTATTCTTCATCTCTCCTCAATTTCTTAGATCACATCTGAATGTGGTAAACAAATTGATGTTTCTAGATTTGATGGTACTTTTGAATCATATTAAATACAAATAGAAGCAGCATCAATAGTTTCAGTAAGTGCAAACTCTTCACTCACTCAGATACCTCCATGTTGTTTATGACACTCGTTTGTGGGAAAAGGACAAGACAAAGCTTATACATCACTTAGGCCCCTCTTGAATTCTGTTTTGAAGTTTTACATGTCACAGAACAGTTGTTGACTCATTGCACAGGAAGGGCACATCCTGTTATTATATGTTTTATGAAATTTCCTGAAATATATTTTTATTGTGATAATTATTACTTGTGAAACACATAAAATGTCAGTACAGATGGAAAATGGCAGATTCTTCCATAATAGTGTCTTTTTTTTTTTTTTTTCATAAATTACCGATTTCTAGTAGTACTGTGGCTGCAGGAGTGATGACACGTCACACAGGCTTTAACCTACTAGACATTTCCAGCAGAAGTGCATTCAATAATTATGGTCAAATCTATCTTTTAATTTTCATGGTATATTTTCAACTCTGAAAATCTGTTTGCTTCCTTTTTTTAACATTAACAGTCATGTTACTGTTCAGTGCTGAGCAAGACGCAGAACCTTGCAGTGTTCTGATTCATTCTAGCAATTCTGTGAAAGTTATATGCAGTTATGAAAATAAAAGTAATTTTTGGTCCTTAGGTAGGTTAGTCTTTTCTTATATTACAAAAATGATGTTTTACTACTAATTTCTAATGAGAGACTAATGCAAAGCAAGCTTTGTGACATGTCAGTGCAGTGGAAAAAGCCTGACTGCCTCTCTTGCTGAGTTCTAACTATTGCTGATAGAAGCCACTTTAATGCATTTTGAAATACATATATACACTTGGAAACAGACCAGACTTAAGTAATCTCTTCTGTAAAAATGAACAAGCTTGACTACATGAATAAACTTGTTTCCAGACAAAAGCTATTTGTCATGATTCAGTGAATTTACATCCACATGATAAAACCCTGTGCAGTGTAAAATTAATGTTAATAAGGACATTTTAGTAAGTCCTTCATATTTAGGGAAATCTCTATGTATGTGCCTTCTTATACGAGGCTAATGTATTGGTTCATTAGCTGCCATGATGTTTTGAAGTGTCTCACAACCTGGCCTTTAGGTGTCTGGTCTTTACAGTTTCAGGTGCTATTTCCTTGTTCACGTGATAGTGTGCCTTCCTCCTCACACATGAATGTGTCCACGGTCATGATCCTGTCTTCTCACTATGTACCTTTCTGCAAATACACTCCACAATGTTTTGAAAACCTCCTTCCTGCAATTGGCATGGTGCCATGAGGTAAACTGGCATCAGCTCGCACTGGCAGTCTATTGCCAGGATGCACATGAGCGTATTGCAAGGCAGCAGCTTGCAGGTCTGACACAGTACAACACTGCACATGCAAAGGATTTAAAACTGGTCTATAACATAATCAAAGCCATCAGCTTCCAGCTGGTCACGGGGAAGTCACTTACTATTCCTCTGCCAATAAGTGCCAGCACTATTTGGAAGATAGAGGAGATAATGCTAATTCTAGAGTTCCCGCCCACCAAGGTCAGCAAGGTGTAGATTCTTCTTTTAAAAAGTTGCTAGCATCCAAAAGGTTCTTGCTTCTGAGATCCTCAGTAATAAGGAACCAAAAATAATATCAAACATAGGCTAGAATATAAAACATTTTTGTTGTATTGATATACTGACTGATGAAAATGAAAGGCTTTCCTCTGCTGTAGTCACAAATAGTTGTAGAATGTACTCATACTCAGCAAATATTACAGCTTTAGGAACACTGAAATGAGTGCAGCATGAATGAGACAGGAATTCTCAAAAGACAGAATGGAGTTCCAAAGTAAAATTTGTATCTTAAAAAAAAAAAAGTAGGAAATCAGTTTATGAAATTGTAACATTGAACTAGAAGAGAGAAATGGAAACAAAAAAAAGAGGAGTACCTAATTATACATGCTAAGAGATAGCTATGGGAAAATAATTCAATCTTACCTCTAAGTACAGCTGAAAGAAAGAATAGAAAACAGATTTGTGAGAAAATTTAGTACTTACCTTGGTGTCAACTATTACCATATTACTGTTCATATACATGAATAATTGTATGTACCTGAGTAATTCTATTAGGTTCTCTGATGAGTTTATTAATGCTATCTGTACTGCTAAATGTAGATAAATTCGATGACCTGAACTTAAACACCAAAATCAAACAGCCATATACTTTCACGTTCATTGCAGGTAAAAACATAAAATTTAAGAAGAAATG